TCCTATCGAGCGTACATTACAGCACAGACACATAGTCACCACGGCTAGATGTAAAGTCTGCCTAGCTGCAGACGAGGATTTGATGCATGCGCTGGTTAAGTGCAATCATGCAAAGAGGTTCTGGGGGGAAGCGAGAGAGTGGCTGCAAGTGAAACTCCCTGCTCTCCACCCAGAAACATGGAGGAAAGATATTCTTTGTGACTCAAGGTTTCAAGAAACTGATAGGGCAAAAATTGTTTCTGTCATGTGGGCGATTTGGACCTCCAGAAATAATATTACACATGATAAGGAAAGTTCAAACCCAGTCCAGTTTCTGAGAATGATCAAGGAGGCTTTGGTGGTGCTAGACCTTCCTATGGAGCACACCAAAGTCCTGATTGGTTACGGATGGAGACCACCTGAGGGTGAGGGGATCAAGATCAACACTGATGCAGGTATCTCTACTGAGGAGAGGAAAGGGGGTGCAGGAGGGATCGCCCGGTCTTCGACTGGCTTTCTTGCTGCCTGGAGCAAGCCATATCCCGGAGTGACAGATCCATTGGTAGCAGAAGCTTTGGCTCTGCGTGATGGGGTTCTCTTTGCTCGTCTCCGAGGATTCATGCGAGTGGTTATGGAGGTTGACTGCAAGGAGGTAGTCGATCTGTGGGCTTCTCGCACTTTCTCGCGCTCGACGGTAGCGCCAGTTCTATTGGAAATAGAAGGACTAGCTTTATCTTTTCAGTCTTTTGCTATTCAATTTGTATCAAGAAATGCCAATGCTCCAGCCCATCTTTGTGCCAAGTTTGCTTGCGCATTAGGGGTTTCGAGCTGTTGGATGGACTCCCCTCCTAGCTTTCTCATGACTAGCATTATGGCTGATCATGCAGGAGCTAGAGTTGATTGAATAAAGTTCTCATTTCCCCGCAAAAAAAAGAACCAGGGAATGATGGGTGTCCTCCTCTGAGGAACATTTCCAGTTATTCGGGTCCCATAAAAATCGTTGAATACGACTAATTTCGTAGTAATGCACGGGTATTGTGTATACTTCGTAGTTTAAAGAGTGGCTCGGATACATCATGCATGAGTAAATTGATTATTTCATGGAGATAGAAATACAACCTTTTTTTCATAGAGCGGCTGGTAAAAAGAAGGAATTGCATCAAGCGACTATTGGACGATACAGGTGTGTGGAGAGAAGATATGAGTGATCTTAGCTCTATCATCACAGGGTATTTCGCTGAACTTTTTACCTCGCAAGTGCATGCACCAAATATGAATGTTCTGGATCATGTGAACGGTATAGTTATTGTGAAGATGAATGAAATCCTGATGACCCCTTATACGTGTGAGGAAGTAAGGAAGGCTCTTTTCTCCATTGGGGATTTGAAGGCACCCGGGCCGGATGGGCTTCATGCCATATTTTATTAGAGGTTCTAGCCAATGCTAAATAGTCGAGTAATACCACAAGGGTGGAATAATACCACAATTATCATGATCCCTAAGGTACACCAGAAAAAGTGACACAATTTAGACCTATCAGTTTGTGTAATGTGGTGTACAAGGTTATATCGAAAATGATAGCGGCTAGCCACAAGTTATCATTCCAGAGATAATCAGTCCTACACAAAGTGCTTTTATTCCAGGGAAACTGATTACATACAACATCCTTATTGTGTATGAAAGTCCGCACACCATTAAACAGAAGAAGGTAGGGAAGGAAGGATGGTGTGCGATGAAGATGGATATGCACAAGGCCTGTGATAGGGTTGAGTGGGTTTTTCTGGAAGCAATGCTTTCGAAACTAGGATTTCATGTTTTGTTTTTATACCTAACTAGGATTTCATGTTGATTGGGTAAATCTGATTATGACATGTGTGTCGTCAGTGGAATATAAAGTGAGATTTAATTCTTTTGAAACAGAGACTATCATACCATCTTGAGGTCTTCGACAAGGGGACCCTTTATCCCCGTACCTTTTCCTACTATGTACGAAAGGACTTACAACCTCTTATTTCATGTTGAATTAACTGGAGAGCTGGAGGGAGTAAAGGTTTGTCGTGACGCACCTGCAGTTGCAAATCTTTTATTTGTTGATGACTCTCTGATTTTAATGAAGGCAATGAGACGAATGTTGCATGCTCGAAATCCATACTTGATACATATTGCTTAGCGTCGGGACAGCTTGTTAGTGTGGATAAATCAAGTATTCTTTTTAGTCCCACTACAGAAGTTAATATGAAGGCAACTATTTGCACTACTCTTAATATAATGACGGAAGCTTTGAATGATAAGTATTTGGCTGCCAACAACTCTAGGCCTTGATAAAAGTGACAGTTTTCAATATTTGATTGATCGGCTCATTCAAAGATTGATGGGATAAAAGGAGAAGTGTTTATCATTAGGAGGTAAAGATTTTTTATTAGAATCAGTTGCTCAAGCTATACCAACTTATGCGATGTCGATCTTCGAAATCCTAAAAAAAATGCAAAGGAATCACATATGTGATGTCAAGTTTTTGGTGGGGTGATGATGCAACACAAAAGAAGATGCACTGGTTCACATGGTGGAAGATGTGCATTTCAAAAAAGCAAGGAGGCATGGGTTTCAGAGATACCCACTATTTCAACCTCGCACTGTTAGCTAAACAGGCATGTCAATTGATTGACAACCCTGGCTCATTATGTGTTGTAGTTCTTAAGGCCAAATATTTTCCCGAGGGAGATTTGATGGGTGCTACTTTGAAGAGGAAAGCATCATACACATGGCAAAGTATTATGGCAGTGGTGGATACGTTATAGAGAGGCTATATTTAGAGAATCGGTGATGGTGAGAGCGTTAACATAAGGAATGACCCCAGGATTCCCCAATCACCCTCCAAAAATTTCTAACTATTCATGGAAATAATCTCTTGTCTCGTGTATGTGACCTCATAGATCCTGTATCAGGAGATTGGGATGAACAATTGGTGAGACAAACGTTTTGGCCAGTTGATGCTCATAGAATTTTGGCTATACCCTTCCTTTACATGATATGACAGACTTCGTGGCATGGAACCCCTCGAGAATCCGGATCTTTACGATACGTTTGGCCTTAGTGGCGGAGCCAGGAAATTCGGATGAGGAGGGCCAAGTATTGTTAAGTCTTGTTAGAGAGGGCCATTCATGAAAATACATCACTTTAGCAGCAAAAACATCAAAGTTTACACTAATACTAGACTCAAATCAGTAGTGTTAGGGGGGGCCAGGGCCCCTGCTGGTCCCCCCTGTCTCCGCCACTGTGGCCTATCATGAGGAGTGGGAGTTTATGTTTGGTGATAAACTTCACACAAATGTACGATCATCCACCAACACAGATATATGGAATTCAGTGTGGAAACTTTCATGTCCGGCCAAGATTAAGATTTTTATAAGGAGGGCACTACATAGTGCCATTCCATGTCAGGCAATATTAGCAGCGAAGCATATGAAGGTAAAGGTGCACTGCCCAGCATGCAATTTTGGTCCTGATAATTTGAAGCACTTGTATTTTGAATGTCATAAGGCGGCGGTAGTATGGAACTTGTTAGGAATCCATGATATTATAAAAAAAGCGTGTCGAGCCAATCTTACCGAAGAAAAGATACTGGAGCATTTTCTATGTCTTCCTGATCATGATGTGCATGTTCTCGGCCTCCCAAACTTACGAGAAACTATGGCTACTGATGGGTGGTATTTATGGTATGAAAGAAGGAAGCTTACTCATGGTGAACAGACACAAAGTGTTCCTAAATTAATCTAGCAATAAGAGGGATGGCATCAAACTTTGTTATTGGATGCAGTCCAAAAGCAAAAATTCGTAAGGTTGCTTGGACAAAACCTAGAACGAGTTACATGAACAATGTCGATGCCGGATTCGATCATGATCAGCTAGAAGGAATGGTCAATGCTATTACCCGCGATCACAACGGCAAGTTTATAGCAGCTGCAAATGAGAAGATGAGCTTTTTGTTTTGATGTGTTCACCGCCAAGACGACAGTAGTCAGGTTTGGTCTAAACTTGGCAAGGACTGTTCGATGTAACAAATTAGAGCTGGTGTCTGACAATGCTGATGTAGTTTTGGCTTTGCAAGAAGGAAGATCAAGTTCGGTAGCTGGTGTCATTTTTGATGATTGCTTTTATATGACTCGGGATTTTAATCATGTTAGTTTCGTCTCCCTGTAATAGGGATAGCAAACAGGTTGCTCATGATCTAGCTAAGTTAGCTAGATTTTCATGTGTCTCGATGAGTAAATGATAATATGCCTCTCATTGATGAATAAAGGAGGGTTTTTTTTCGAAAAAGATAGGCTCGGATACGACGCAAGGTCTCCGGAAGATCATCCACCTGCTACGTGTCATAGCAAGAACCATGTGTTTGCAAGGGTCGGAGCTTTCCAGGCCGTGGCAATGCCGACGCCACCCATGGACTCGAACATGGAGGAAAGGGCCAGCGGCGGCTTTCTCCTGCTACTCCTCATCGCCGGTGTCGCCGCCGTCTTTGTTCGGCTGAGGCGACGGTGGGGGCATGGGAGCAGCAGAGCAGCAGAGCGCCGAGCCCTCCGTCGCTCCCGCTGCTCGGCCACCTCCACCTGCTCAAAAAGCCGCTGCACCGCTCCCTGGCCGCGCTCGCCGGGTCGGCGCCGCTCCTGTCGCTCCGGCTGGGCGCGCGCCGGGCGCTGGTCGTGTCAACACACGCCGCGGCCGAGGAGTGCTTCACGGCGCACGACGCCGCGCTGGCAGGGAGGCCGCAGCTGCTCGTCGCGGAGCACCTTGGGTACGGCCGCACCACCATCTCGTGGGCCTCCGACGGTGCCCACTGGCGCGGCCTGCGCCGGTTCCTCGCCGTCGAGCTCTTCTCAACCTCCCGCCTCGCCGCGCTTGCCTCCGACCGCCGTGCCGAGGTCGCGTCCCTCGTCCAGAACCTGCTCCACGACACCAGCGCAAGCGCCAGTGGTGGGGTTATCACCCTCCGGAACAGGCTGTTCGAGCTGGTGCTCAACGTGATGCTGCACGCGCTCACCACGCGCCGGCACGCCGGCGACTTGCGCAGATTCCAGGAGATTGTGGAGGAGACATTCGTGGTGAGCGGCACGCCGAGCATCGGGGACTTCTTCCCGGCGCTGCGATGGGTCGACCGTCTCCGCGGCGTTGAGGCGGCGCTTGCAGGCCTACAGACAAGGCGTGACGCCTTCGTTGCTGGCCTCATCAATAACCGCCGGCAAATGCGCAGCGCCGGTGGCCGAGACGTGGAGAAGAAGGGCGTAATCGACGTGCTCTTGGAGCACCAAGAAGTCGATCCCGGGTATTACACTGACACCGTCGTCAAAGGCATCGTCTTGGTGAGTAGCATATTTTGCAGACTGCATGCGTGACACCGCCACCACCATGTGTGCCATTCTGGTGATCTGTGATAAGATGGTTGCCATGTCCATGCCAACATTCAGGTAATGCTCACGGCCGGCACCGATACATCGGCGCTAACCACCGAGTGGGCGATGGCGCTGCTGCTGAAGCACCGTGAGGTGATGGCGAAGACGAGGGCCGAGATAGACGCCAATGTCGGCATGAGCCGACTGGTTGAGGAGTCGGACATCACCAACCTACCTTACCTGCAATGCGTTGTCAAGGAGACCCTTCGACTCTGCCCCGTCGGCCCAGTCATCCCAGCACACGAGGCCATGGAGGACTGCACCGTGGGTGGCTTCCATGTGCAGCGTGGCACGATGATCCTCGTGAACGCATGGGCGATCCACCGGGACGCCAATGTCTGGGATGCACCAGAGGAGTTCAGGCCAGAGAGGTTCTTGGGCAGAGACGCGGTCACCATGCCCATGCTGCCGTTCGGGTTTGGCAGGAGGCGATGCCCCGGTGAGGGGCTGGCAATGCGAGTCGTAAGCTTGACACTGGCAGCACTCCTGCAGTGCTTTGAGTGGGATGTTGGTGAAGGCGATACCATCGACATGGCTGAAGGTGGTGGACTGACAATGCCAATGGCGACGCCATTGGCGGCTGTCTGCCGGCCCCGGGAGTTTGTCAAGAGTGTGTTCTGTGCTTCCATTTGATGGACTTAAGAAATGTTTCTGAAGAAATAGAAGAAACTAGATTAAACTTGTTTAGCAATGGTGCCAATGAATCTTGGGAAGAATACTTGTAGCAAGATTTCATTCGATGATGCTGAACATTACAATATCAGACAAGTGTAAAACCAATTTCAGTGAATCGGTGGTGGGCAATAAGCCAAAAAGTGTTCAATAGAACAGCAATAATTTTGTTGCTGGATTTATACCAGTCTATACTCTGCATTTCTCTGTGCATTGGCGGCAAGAAACTGATCGAAGATTTCCGAGGCAATTATGCAGGGCAGCAGTTATGCAGTGTCTAGAATGAAAGGCTAACAGAATCAACAACCAAATTTTCCAACAAAAGAAACACCGTGCAAAATGAGAAATGCTTAATTGGACAGTGAGACTTGAGTTTCCAACAACAGCAAAACTACACCTTCTGGTTCAAATATTGTGAAATGCTTCTTGGTGGTTAATATTCTGATTCGGCTATCATTCTATCTGTTTAAGATAGTAATAGGTGTTGGTTAATACTGGCTTTCTGATTATGAGTGTTTGGATTAAGAGATTAATCTGGCAGTGCTGGTTAACATTAGCTTTCTGGTGATGCAGCGGCCGGGGGATTAACCTCTTTTTCAAAAAAAAAAAACATTAACTTTGTTGTTATTAGAATGCTCTGATGGCTAGCATGCCCTTCGGTATCAGCAGGTCTTTCTGATTAGTATCGCTCTTCTGGTTTTTTCCTTGATTCTTCCATTCCTCTACTTGTGAAAGCATATTGAAGATGAAAGAAGAAAGGAAGTACCGATGACACTCCTCTCATGCATCAATTCTACGTCGTCTTGTTTCATCACCAACAGCTTCTTGATGATCCCCTCCCTTCTTCAACTTCACTCCACCGGTGTTCTTCTGAAGTTCAGTGAGCATCAAGTTATCATCAAATTACCTTGACCTTGTCAACAGCTGCTCTTTAAAAGACCAACATATAACTACCGGTCATAAAACTACTTCAACACACATGATGCAGTATGTTCATGCATGTTCGCAGTATGTAGTCATAAAACATTTTCTCTGAAGTTATGCAGCCCAATACGAAACGAATGCTACTTTTAGAACCTTTTTTTCTGTGGCGTCTGAAGTATCCTCTGCCGGTCTCCGTCCTGCGATTAGTTGCCCAATCAATCCACCAGCTTATTCCCATCAGGACTCCAGAGTCCTCAGAGATCTGCATGTGCAAAGCATCATCATTCCACCTCGCGACACCAAATCGGACAACAAGACTTCTCGGTTGCCTTTAACAAGCGCAGCTAACTGCTGAAAGTTACTGTCCAGCGTTTTTATATGGCTCCTCGACAAAAAGACTTCTCGGTTGCCTTTATCAAATGTGACAACTGGTACAGAAAAAAATTACTGCCCAACCTTGCGAGGAGTGACGATGTCAGTGTCATGCCATAAAGATACGGGCCATGCCGGAGAGATACCGGCTAATGTGGACACGGGATCGAGTTAGCATCAACGTAGCATTGTCGTGGAGGCAGGCCTGATAAATTCCATTTTGTTTCTGGCACTCATGCCAACCACTCTGTACTTTGGGTATTTGGCAGCGCCAGACTTGCACGTTGCCACCTGATCCTGATGTTGCCCTTTTCTCGACTTCTTTCTTTCCCCTGCCTTCTAGACCTGTATGAGGTATCATTCAGGATGCCCTAGCCCCTAGGTGCCTGTTGCGGCCAAACATGATCAAAAGTAGGAACCCTTTTTTCCATGGCTGCATGCATCTCTACTATCATCATCAACGTCAGTGCGATGTATGATGGGTCATCAATCTAGTAGATGAAATGGCAGACAACAGTGATCAACCATCTCAGGGAACTGCAAGGAAAAGTGATTTATTTGTCTCTTACCGCTAGGAGATACGAGTGGCCGGCTCCGGCTTATCTTGAAGGCGTTGATGTGGAAGAAGATGACTTAGTCGTAGGTGTTAAATTTACATCTTGATGTTTTTCGCCTCGTTGCCTTGCATCAACTGTAAAAAAGATGGTCGTGTGCATCACAATGATGCAACGGCCGAGGGTCTTAACCTCCTTTTCAAAAGAAAGAAAAAAGATGCATGTGGGAAAAGCTTATGCTAATTTACCACATGTGCGTGTGCATGGGCTGGTTTCCAATATGTATGTCTAATCAGTTTGGGGTGCTTGGGCAGCCTTCCCTGTGAAGAAAGGAATATGTGAATAAATAGGATTTCTCACCATCACATTCAGATTGTGTACTATTGGATACCTGGAATGAGATCAGCAGAGCACTTGCAACAGCTGCGAACAAGCGATGTGTTCCCTGTTGAGGCCAGAGAAAAAGCAGTGATCAGGAACCACCCCTGGTAGGAATGACCAAATAGAACACAGGAGAAGAGTGGACAAACAACAAAGGAACAAGATACCAAACGGGTCCCTGATGAATTGCGCTTTGAAAATGCACATAGATCTGCATATCTGGGCGAGGGCGACGTATGTTGGTACTGCCTCCTGCAGATATGGTTAACTATGTGGAAGGGAGCCTAGGTGCCTCTCCTTTTCTATCCTCATCAAGTTGACCCAGTATCAAATGTAAGCTCTATCCGTTCCATCCCAATAAAAGCATCCCAATGCTAACATCATCACCACCACACCACACTTGCGCAAACACAGGGAAAGCAGCTAGATGGCAAGAACTCAGCTTCCATCCCCACACAAAAGACTACCTAAAAAGTACAGGCGGACCTCTTCCGGTGCACTTGTGACAGCAACAGTCTCCCACTAAAGCAAACAAATGTGATGATGCCCAACAAGTTAACAGCATATGGCCACAACTATTTCTACAGCATATATACAAGTCAATTATTGGGTCTGGAGGGGATGACACGATGCATAAAACAATACTATTGGCCTCACCGTTCTGACTCAAAGTTGTTGTGTTACTTCTCGCTTTTCAGATCAGATTGTTATAATATTGCTAACAGAGATGCAAAAAGGATGTATGTTTTTACCAGCACCATCTTTGAGTGATAGTCTTCAGAATGGTGATGAAATCAGCTGTTGGAGTCTGTTGATATTGCTTGTTGTGAGTTCTGACCTAAACCATCATGCTTTCAGTGCAAGCAGATAGTTTGCCAAAAAAAGAATAGTTGTAGTACAGATAGGGGGTGAATGAAAAGATTGTACACAATTATTGCAACAGTATCTGTCAAACAGTGTTCAGGACTCAGGAGCCAATAATATAGGATTGCTTCTTGTGGCCTAACCTAAATACCTAACCATCATTCTAGAGCCCCAAACTGTGGGCTTTCCTGATTCGACTCAACCACAATCCTAACAAGATTCATGACTTTGTTATTAATGTGAGATCGCTTTCAACACCCCACCTGCCGAATAGTCAAATGGGCACCTGTGCTGTGTCAGGCATGCTTGCAAATGGAGGAAAGCTTGTCATGGAAACCTCATGCCCTGTACTGTGATTCTTGTTGTCTCTTTTGGAAAAAGAGTAGGAGTACACACAGCAGCAGGCATATATGGTGTGAAACTAGATATCAAGTCACCAAGGCAAGTAGAGGAAAAGATGACGGGAGCATGCATTCCCTTGCCTTGCCCTGGGATATGTAGCACCACTATAGTATATGAATGAGAGCCAGGTAGGAAAGAAAGAAAGAAGAGATAACCAAATAAAGATAGAGATCCACTAACTCCAGACAAAGTTCTTTACCTCCTGATTCCTCACAAAGACCCCCTCACAAGCCTCAATTATTAGCCAGAAAAATATTCCATGCACCTCCCAACCTCGTCCCCCTTTATAAGGCAAACTGCGAACTGGAAGAGATGCACCACCCCACCCATGAGCCGCAAGCAGGCCTAGAGGGAGAACCAGGAGACAGTTTCATGATAGGATATGGAGCAAGCAGACGAAGCATCGTCGGTGAACAAGGGGAGCCCAGAGCGGCTTACCATCGACCAGGACGACGGCGCGTCGTGGCTGAGCCTCACGGTCGGCGCAAACGGATCGGCGGAGGCGGCGGCAAACTGCTCCGAGCCTGAGCCTGATCCTGAGCCCAAGCCTTCTGCTGCCCCACACAAGGTTTTCTCATGCAACTTTTGCATGAGGAAGTTCTTCAGCTCACAGGCGCTGGGCGGCCACCAGAACGCCCACAAGAGGGAGCGCAGCGCCGCCAAGCGCTCTTACCATGCACAGAGGATGGTGATGGGGCTGCCTCTCGAGGCGCATGCCGCCTTTGTGCAGTCCCTGCGAGTTAGCCAGAGCTCAGTGATTCAGAAGTCCAGCCAGCCAGCACAAATCAGGACAGCGCCAAGGTTTCATGAAGATGGGATGACCTGGGCAACAATCCCCTGCGAGGAGGTGCTCAACTCAACATGGCCAGGAAGCTTCAGAGCGAGGACACAACCTTCAGAGCAACAACCATCAGAACAAAGTAAGATAGACTTGAATCTCAGGCTTTGATAGGTTGATGTATCAACTTTGAACAGTAAAAAGTCCTCATCAAGTTTGTCCTTCTGAATAAATTGGCATGAAGTGACCAGTTAAGCTCAGCTCACCATCAGAATCAAAGATGGTACTGAACTCTGAAGATGATGTTGTTCCTTTTGAATTCCTGGCGACGCTGCTGCAATATTTATGTAGCCAGATAGTTAATATGATCATATGTAGCCTAGTTGACATCGGTGTGAAGGAACTCAGGGATTTTTTGTACTTACCAGAAGCAGCATATATAATGTCTCTGTCAGTCATCCTCATATTAAAGGTTCTGCAAGTTCTTGTTTTCATTGACCTAGCATACCATGGAGTATAATAGTTGGACAGAGATAATATCAACTCGCGTGCAGATCCAAATAAATACCTTAAAAAATCACAGGAAAATGAGCAAATTAACACATAGCTATGTGAAGCTCTGATTAAAAAAATTGCAATTTAAGCAGAGATACCTGAAGCTGTAAAGTCCGGTACAAAACAGTAAGATCATCGAACTTGACCTATAATTTATACAAATAAATCAAGCAAATATGGCATCTAAATTACTCCTTCCGTGGAAACATTGAAAAGGACTAAGCTGCCCCTAATTATCCCTGAAGTATTGTTCATTGTATGCATGTAGGGAACACCAAGTAAAGCTAGCATATTCTTTATGGAAAGAGATGGATAATCACACTTTCTTTTGCACCAGTGTTAGAGTACGTAATGGGCCTAATGGGCCCATTAGTCTTAGGGTTAATTAGAGATAAGGGTCGCTTGCTTAGGGGTCAAGTAAGTCTTGCTTGGGAGTCAAGTAAACCTCTCTATATAAAAAGAGGAGATGTATCAATCTAATCAAGCAAGAATTAAGAAGGAAATCCCTTCCCTCTTGCCCGGCCGTGGGCAAAAAGGCCCCCGGCCAGCCCTCTCGCGCCCTCCTTCTAGCAGCGCCATAACAATTTGGTATCAGCTAGCTTCGGTTCGATCATGTCTTCACCGTCGCCAAGCCCGTCTCTTCTGCTGCCGGTCACCTTGTCACCTCCCGCGACCACCACGACTGTCGCCCCGCTCCTGCCCGCGCCGGGATCCTCTGTCGCGCCCGCCCCCGCCGTCCTCACCTGGGAGGAGGTGTCCGGGGTGCTGCGGGACCTAACCCAGGCGGTCCAGGAGATCCACCTGTTCTTGGCCGGGTCCTACGGGCCGCACCCGGTTGCGCCGACCATCGCCACCCCTGCGCCGCCGTGGCTGCCGTGGCAGCCGCCGCACCAGGCGGCCTTCGCCACGCTCGCCAGGCCGCTGCAGCTGCCATCCATCGCCACCACCGCCCAGCCCTGGCTGCAGTGGCAGCCGCCACTCCTGGCGGCCTCCGCCGCGCCCGGCGCTCCGACGCAGCAGCCGTTGCCGCTGCCCGGCGTGACAGCGCAGCAGCCGTTGCAGCTGCAGCAGCCACCGTTGGTCAGCTCCGCCGCCTAGTATGGGATGCCCTACGACGGGAGTGCGACGACCTCGTTCCCATCAGCGCCGCCGCCATCCCAGGGCGTCCACATCCAGCAGATCAAGTCCCTGCCATCGCCGTCACCACTTCCGTCTTGGATTGCTACCCGCCACGTGTCGGCGGCGGTGAGGCTGCAGGCTGCTGCGCGCGGCCTCCTAGCGCGTCGGCGTGTGCGGGAGATGCATGGTCTGCAGCAACCGCTCCTCCAAGTTGCCCTTCGCTGCGCAAAAGACCCCGATCTCGTCCGCTGCGTCGGGAATCTTGGGCATGCGGTTTCCCCCATGGGCGGCTAGCACGTTGTTTTCCCCGCGGGCAGCAACCTCAAAGTCTGCGACATCGGCGGTTGGGGGGGCGCACCCCTCCTCGTCATTCTCAATCGCAAGCCCTACACTCTTCCCTGTGCGGTGCAGACCAACAGCCATCCGGCGGGGAGAAGGCAGGGTGTCACCGACAGGAGCGCACCGCGTAGCACCACTGCTTTCCGCCGCCGACCACCGCGAGGGCGCCTCTGCTGGTCGCTCTTGCGACCACTTCCAGGTGGCCATACACATGCACTCCTTTGGTCCAGGTGGTGTCCATGGGATCCAGGTGGCTGTACACGTGCACGTCCGACGTGCGGATGGTGTCCACCTTTTGTTAAAGGGTCCAAAATAAAACGTCTCAGTCCATTTTAGGTTGAGAATAATAAAACAAGCCGAGATGTAAAAGGCTCGTTTTTAGGTGTTAGGTTTGTGTTGCGTCGAGTCATGGTTATAAGTTGGTTAGGCTGCAGCTCGAGGACAAGCTGCATGTCTAGGTGGGGTGTAGTGTTAGAGTACGTAATGGGCCTAATGGGCCCATTAGTCTTAGGGTTAATTAGAGATAAGGGTCGCTTGCTTAGGGGTCAAGTAAGTCTTGCTTGGGAGTCAAGTAAACCTCTCTATATAAAGAGAGGAGATGTATCAATCTAATCAAGCAAGAATTAAGAAGGAAATCCCTTCCCTCTTGCCCGGCCGTGGGCAAAAAGGCCCCCGGCCAGCCCTCTCGTGCCCTCCTTCTAGCAGCGCCATAACAACCAGAATTTCAAATGCACCTTGTATTTCCAAACAGAAGTATTCTGGAGTATATTATTGCATACAAATTATTATTATTTTGAGTAAAGTATTGCACACAGTATTGGTAGTCACTGTTCATAAGAATGGCATTAGCAAGAATAGACATGTGACCATTTGTAACAAGGAAAGGAGGCAATAGCAGTGGAGATCCAACAATTTGACACACCAATTCATTATAGTCCATCGAGTTGAAAAATGCAATGGACTAGTGCACAAACTTTGCTTGCATATTCATTAGGAAGAATACACATGTAATCATTTAGGAAGTTTCGTCTGCATCAGTTGCCATCAGAAAAGTATTAAGGTCCCCCACCACCACCACCACACACACACACAAAAAAAGAATTAAGGTGCCTCACAATAACTCCACTGTGGATATTGGTAGTCCAGAACTCCAGATCCAGATGCATATGGTAAATGGAAAGCATGTTCAGCGTGACGGTGTCTTATACAGCACTACTTCAGTAATCAATTGAAAATTACAATAAGCTATAACTTCGCACAGCAGACTAAAGAAAACCAAGAAACATCCATCTGCGATCATCTGGTCTGCATATTGCTCAGTAAATGTGTTTTGAATCTCAATAAATGCTGTTTAGTGTGCCATCAAATTTATAATGAGTCATTCAGAAGTGAACACCTTATAGGCAGCAAATGGGTTGATCATTCATTGGAAATGACTCAGGCCTCTAGGATTTTGATTCAATGAAGAATGTTACACTAACAAGCTTTTTTTTATATAGATAAAAGGCGATAGCCCGACTTTATAAATAAAGCCACTTACACTAACAAGCTATCGAGGTGATAGTTAAATAGTGAAAAACAAGCACCATGCCAAGTATGATTATTCATGCAAGCTATGTTATTTAGGCCTATCTCTAATACAACTCCTAAGTAGAAAGGTAGGTCATAGGTACTGTAAGCACACTCACAAATGATAGATCAAAAGAAAAAGAATCAGCAAAGGCAATGGATCAACAATATATCAAACATTACCTGTGAGTTCCTGTTTTCGTTAACCTAGCATACCATGGAGTGTAATAGTTGGACAGAGATAATATGAACTCTCATGCAGATCAAAATAAATACCTTAAAAAATCACCAGAAAATGAGCAAATTAACACATAGCTATGTGAAGCTTTGATTAAAAAATGCAAATTAAGCAGAGATACAGATACCTGAAGCCGCAAAGTCCGGTACAAAACAGTAAGATCATACAGAGCATATTTATGCAAATTTATCAAGCAAATATGGCATCTAAATTACTCCTTCTGTGAAAATACAGAGCATATTCCGCCTTGCACTTAGACCAAGGAAACATTGAAAAGGACTAAGCTACCCTAATTATCCCTGAAGTATTGCTCATTGTATGCATGTAGGGAACACCAAGTAAATCTACTCCGTAGCATATTCTTTAGGGAAAGAGATGGAACAGCACACCTTCTTTTGCATCAGAATTTGAAATACACCTTCCTTTTCCAAACATAAGTAGTCTGGAATACAGTATTGCATACAAAATTATTATTATTTTGAGGAAAATATTGCACACAATATTAGTAGTTACTGTTCATAAGAATGGCATTAGCAAGAATAGACATGTAATCATTTATAACAAAGTAAAGAGACAATTGCAGTGGAGATACAACAATTTGACACATCGATTCATTATAGTCCATCAAGTTGAAAAATGCAATGGACTAGTGCACGAACTTTGCTTGCACATTCATTAGCAAGAATAATATGTAACCATTTAGGAAGTTTCGGCT